CATTAGTAATGCATTTCACTCTCAAACCAAGGGACAATAAGAGATGACAATTCACACATTAGAGTATATGCTTTAAATTTGTGTTTTACACTTCGAAGGCTATTGGGATGATCACATACATTTGATAGAGTCTGCCTACAATAACAGCTACCAGGCAAGTATCGGCATGGCTCCGTACGAGTCATTGTATGACTGCTTGTGCAGATTGCCGATCTATTGAGAAGAGGTGGGTGATAAAAAATTAGTTAACACTATAGCTAAGATAATTAAGATCAAGAAGAACATTCAGACCACTCAGAGCAGACAAAAAAATTATGCGCACTCCTGGAGGAGGGATTTGGAATTTGAGAAAAGTGACTGAGTGTTTCTTAAGGTCACTCCTTTAAAAGGGATTAGTAGGTTTGACAAGATGGGAAAATTAAATCCAGGTTCATTGGACCATTTATGATCTTTGACCGGATTGGTACGACTGCTTACAAGCTGACACCACTTCCAGAGCTATCTAGAGTTCATAATGTGTTCCATGTATCTATGCTGCGCAAGTACAACCCAAACTCCTCACACATCCTGTCTCGCGAGCCCCTTTTACTCCAAGAGGATTTATCCTATGAGGTGGTACCAGTAGGCATTGTAGACCAGAAGAGTAGAGTACTCCGCAACCAAGAAATTCTATTTCTCAAGGTCCGATGACAGAACCATACGCAGGAAGAGGCCACTTGGAAACTGAAATCAAACTTCAGGGCCCAATACTCCCAGCTGTTCAACTGGGTGAGAGAGTAATTAATTTGAGGGACAAAATTTTCTTAAAAGGGATAAAGTTGTAATACCCGAGCCCGAAAAAATGACACGAGATAAAGTTTTTCTCTTTAATTTTTAATTTAAAATATTTGATTAATTTTTTTTATTTAAGTAAAGTTTTCAGAAAAAATGAATTAGGGACGAAATTGAAAATAATTTTGAGAAAAATAGATAAAAATTTGGGTTCTGTGAGTATTTTTGAAAGAAAAAATAAAAACAAGAGATCAAAATGCAAATAGAGAAAGTTCGACCACGTAGGACTGCCCAATCAGCAGTCTCGACGAACCAGAGTGGCCCGCGTGGCAAGGTGGGCTGACATCGGTGCCATGCAGGAGGCCACGCTGGTGATCCATGTGCCTTGCGATGGAACGACCCAGTATCGATCCTATGCGTGTGAACTGCCTAGATCTGTTTCTCCCTTAGCCACGATTCGGCGATGGAGATTAATTGCGATGAATGATCAAAATTTGTTTCTTCTTAGGTGCGATCGGACAAATAAGATCGATCCTAATGGACGATCCAGATCAACGTAGAATGGTTATAAATACTTCGCATCACACAAAAGCCATTTTTAGTCTCCAATCCTCAGCGAAGAAGAAGAATCAGATGTTAGAAAAGGAGGCCGACCGCCTACTGCTAGCGCGACAGAGCCATCGCGGACTGTCGCTGCACTGGAGCCACCACCGATTGCCAAAAAAAGTAAAATTTCTCCTTACCCGCTCGGAATTCAATTTTGAGTACTCTTGTGGCCAAATCAGAACAAAAGGAACGATATGTTAGTAAAAAATCGTGGGTAAAGTCCGGCGGAGCTGCAGTGGCTAAAAACCCTAAAACCCCTCAGATGAGCCCATTCTCGATTTCTGTTTCACGTGATTTTTGTATTATTATTTTTACCGTCCTTTTCTGTGCAGGGTAGCTGAAGAAAGAACCTTAACCGCGATGAAATATTGGCAGGGCTGCTGCACTCAGAGGTCCCCCTTGCTTGTAGGTTTGGTTTTTCTTGTTTTTTTTGTGATTTTTCGGTCAATCGAGGCTTCTAACGTATTTTTCTATAGGAAATACGGCCAAAACCAGTCAAACAGGTCAAAACCGGCTAGGCCGGGGTAAACTGCCACTGCGGGTGCCAAAGCACGGCGGTGACGCTGTGCCAGAACCCCCAAAAATTTATAGAATGAGTTTTAGGCATCGATTATTAATTTTTAAGGTATTTTTAGGTGTGTGACGAGTATTTTGAGTTTCACATAAAAATTCAGAAAAATTGGTCCCTTCAAGAGGCGCAGTAGACAGCTCGATATCTCAAAACACCGATCCAGGTAATGATCTCTTACTCTATTCTTCGTTACGATAAATTAAAGGTTAACGATGTA